AAAACTAAACTAAGAAAGCATAAAATAGACAAATACGATACTTTTAAATCTCTGCTTGAGCCTGTGCTGTTCTTATTGCTGCAGACAGCTTTTGAAGGAGACCTTTAACATCACAGGCTGATTAGCGTAATGAAAGAAGATTGCTCTCACAGACAATAAATGCACTGAATTGGGAGAAAAGCAATGAGGAAACACAGGATGTGGAAGAGGGGGAGACAGAGAGTGAAAGAAGAAATATGACTAAGGATAAAAGTTAAGTATCACATTTGGTTTCTTTTAATTACTTCATCGTCTTCCTTTGGTCCTCCAAATTTTTTCCTGTAGAGCACAGAGAGCAGTTCCTCCTTTATGAGTTCTTGTGTCACTGTCATCTTTCAAAGATCCAGCTTCATAAGGCTGTGGGGATCATGAATATATAGAAACTGATCCCTCTCCAGATGCTGCTCACATCTTAATGATGGATACTGCTTCATACTGAAATCAGTCTTTGCAGGTGAAACTACTTATCATTTCCCACATGACTTGTCCGTGCTTGTTCCTTTGTTTTTTCTCTTTTACGGAAAAGGGTTTACTTCTATTGTAAATAAAAATGGTGGGTTGCCTAAGTAACTACCATTTGCATACAATAACTAAACAGTAAAATAAATTTATACAGAAACAGTAAATAGAAATTGTTCTGAAAATCTCCAGTCATCTGTGGCCTACTTCGATCATAAGCCTCAGACACATCTATCTACAGAGCAACACAAGAATATTCTTAGGCATAGCTTTCTATTATTCAACTGAGTAAAGTAAAAATTACAATCTATTCTGGTTAAATAGAAGAGCACAGTATATTTGGCTTAGAAAAAGAGTGAATAAAAAAAACCACAAAAGATATCAAACTCTAAAAGCCTTCTTAAAGCATATCAAAAGCAGAAGTTATTATGGACCCAAGAGATGACTGAATTTCAGAATGACCAAACGCAGAAGGTAATACTAAAGCAACAAGACAAGGGTTTTTCGCATTCATACGCACTCAAGGAAGCACATCATATCAGTTCATTGCTCAGTAATGGTCCAAAAACTGCAAATACCAATTCACAAGTGATTACGGAAGGAACAGAAAACATAACAGAAGGCACCACTAAGCCCCTAAGTTCCAATACCTTGTGCATTTCTGGTTCCAGTGGCTTAAAAATGCCATAGATGAAAAGCAAACAAGAACAAGGATGACCAGGAGAATAAAACTAATCCTGGAACTACAAAAGCAAAATCTTCCTGTACAAGTAGTGGAAGTACAAGAAGCTATTACAGTACCAGAAACCAAGGACAACAAATTACCAGCAAGAAACCGTAATATCTCCTTTATCCATAGAACATACACTCAAGCAGAGAACTCCTTACTACAGGATAAGTGCCAGAAGTTCAGATGGCTCCAATGTATAATTGAACAGATTAGATCAAATTCCTCTAGGATGTACTCAGCATAAAAGCATTATTCTGGGTTTGGAAGATGCTGAGTTATAGAGGGACAGATACTAGGAATAGTATTCGCTCCTTCAGCCAGTGCTGAAGAAAGCCTGCTAGAACATATGGTCCTTCAGACTTGTCCAGCATAGACATTATCATGTCAAACTCTTTCACCTGCTATAGTTCACAACAATATTTATGGGCGACAAGTCATCTCTAAAAGCACATAAGTGACCAAGAGACACAGAGAAAATAATCTACTGAATCCTTAAAATTACTACTATCAGAGATATGTCTAGGGAAACAAACTACAATATTAGCTAAGCATAGCTTCTGACAGTACAAATACTGAATGCTACATTTCATACCACTGTACACATACCCTGACATCCAGACAGGTCCACTTAAGTCCTGTCTTCTGATAAGGGCCAAAGACAAAACATAAAACACAAAGATTAAGGCCTGAATGCTATTGAGAGTTGGTCTAAGTTACATTATTTTCTTTTAACTGTGTCTTAGTTCATGAGCTTATCTGTCTAATACCAATGAGAGTTACAGAAGATACAGCTATGAAGAGCAAACATACCATGTAATCTGGTCTGAATAAACTTGCCCGCATCCAAGAAGTCGGTGTTTAAACACCTCCCATGGCAGAGGTCCTATATTCCCTCTGGGCATCATAAAAGGCTAAGACAGTAACCAGCTAAAATAAAATCTTTCCTAATTTTCATACTGTCCCTCTTGCTGCATTTCATCTCTCTTTCTAAAGGCTAAATTAGACCCCAAAATACATCTCATGGCAGGAAATTGTGGTCCTAGGTATGGTATGGATGAAATTTAAAGCATCCTTTATTGCATTCATACTTAGCTTGCAGGATATTGGCTTTACTTGTTCACTAATATCTGAGACTTTCGTATTTTTTTAAGCTCTTTAAGTAGTGATTTAACACATTTAAATGCCTTCAGGAAAAGTAGTTACAAAAATCAAGAATATTTCTCATATTCACTCTGACATTTAAGACACTCTCAGTCAATTATTTTTCACTTTGTATTAAGGAAATTTAAGGCAGAAATACTAAAGTAACCTGCAGAAAAAAATTCCAGACCAGAATTATACTGTAATATTCTAATCGAATCCCTGCAATATAGTATCTGTCATACTTTCTTCCTTAACAGGAGGAGTCAATGTTAATGTGACTTAATGAAGAATCCTGACAACATTATCATATTACTGAATTGAAATGACTTGATTACACTCTTCTTGAAGATATTACTTACATCTCAATAAAGGACTATCATTACAGTTCTTCAATGGCTCAAAAGCAATCAAATAACAGTGAAAAACAAAACCTGAGAGCAAACAATATTTCACCCAGCTATGTAAATTTGACAAGTCTATGTAACATGCACAAACAGCACAAAGAATAAGCACACAAAGTAAAACAGAAATAACAAATTACTTATGATTAGATTGGTGCAAAAAGGAGCACACAATTTCAATAGAACTGCAGTTAACTTTCTACTCACTTTTAGGACCAAAAATAAAAAATCTCCAGCCTGCACCCCTCTGCACTCATTTCTATTACATGTCCAAATTTCTCATTTTTCACTACAAGTCTGTAAGAATCTTGCTTCAGGTTTTTATTTATGCCTGAAGTGCTTTTGTTTTTCGTAACAAAGCAATAGTATCCTACCTGGGTAGGTATTTCAAGTCTTCAGCAAATCTGAATATACTCAAATATTTTCTTTTGTCTGACCAACTAGACTACATTATCAGCTTTACTAACTAATTATCAAACAATTCTTCAAGCTCTATCAAGCACTAATCAGGCAAGAAAAATTCTGTACATACTACCTCAAAGTATTGCTGGCTTCTCAGTAGTGAAACTGGAGTAGACTAAACAATTCAATAATACTTCTTTTCAGAAGATGAAATTGGACTGAGCAATCTGAACTGTCACAAAAAAACCTTATAAAAATTCTATGCCGCTTATTTACACAGCCCATTTTGTGCATCACAGAATGGGTAAGGTTGGAAGGGACCACAGTGGGTCATTTGGTTCAAGCTCCCCGCTCAAGCAGGGTCATCCCAGAGCACATGGCACAGGATGGCTCTTGAACATCTCCAGTGAGGGAGACTCAACAACCTTTCTGGGCAATCTGTTCTAGTGCACAGTCACCCACATGTTAAAGAAATAATTAACTTACCAAGAGAAGACAACTCATTCACGATCTTTCAAGACAAGGTCAACCCTCTGAAGAAGCTGAGGAAGACACTTGGGAGCACTGCAACATTAGGACTGAGGTCAGCTTGGTACCTTCTAGATGATTTCTGATCAATGTAGATCATCCTCACCTGACTTTGCCTTTCCTTCTCACTGCAGGTTTGTGCCAGCAGATCATCCTGAACAGTACAGCTACACACAGACCTGCTCCCTTGTTGAAATCAGCCAAAATGGACTAAACTCAATTCCAGGTACTATGATCATTGGCAGTAACTACAGACAGGAAGGTGAGGGCAAGGATGCAGAGGTACCCTTAACTACATTCAGTTAGATTTTCCATACAGTTCTTGATCTGCTGGCAAAAGACTGAGAAGAACAACCGGGATGGAAAGGGCAGAAAACATGACTAATTTCTTGCCTTTCTACTTCTATTCCTTTGGTACTTCCAGTGGGAGCTCTGTGACACCAGTGTACTTGTTCTTATTCACCTAACACCAGCTGTGAAAATTCCTACTGAAAACAAATTATTCTGGTTAATGATATTAAAGCAGTTAATTAAAATATGTTTCCCCTCTTTAAAAATCTCTCTTCCTGATAGATTTTATGGGATGAGGATAGAAAAGGCTCAGTTTGACAGAAAAGCCTTACATTACAGAAATCTGACAAGTGGTCCCCAGAGTAGCAAAGGGATTACATTCAAGGATATCCCTCTTGATGCCATCTCCCTTCCTTCAAAGGTAGACAGCTGTATGTTATAAAGCACAGTGGTCATTAGTTACAGGGACACTATCACCCAATTGACAAACATCCTTAAAGGCAAGAGGATGACAAAGCATTCAGAATAGGCAGCTTCGAGGCAGAATTTTGTGAATATGAAGGAAGAAACAATAAATACATAGCTTAGACCTTCAATCATTACAGAAGCACAGACTACTTTACTTTCTCAGCAGTTAGCTTAATATCAAGTCCTGTGGCAGCCAATGCATTAATATCATCAAAGCAGGGTGTTTATCAATAACACAAACAGCAAATCTAGTCTAAATCCAAGATTTTTCACAAGCACACAAAAATTAGAGATCATCAGAAGTCCTCCTGATAGTATTACATAAAGCATGTTCCCAGATTTACTATGAACAGGTAAAAACTGTTTCCTAGCAATTCCTATTATCTTTACAGTACATAAAGAAAATTCAACAACATTTCATCCTCATCAGCTACTCACAAATCAAATCTTCAGTGTTATCTGCATACAGCCAGCTGGTTTTTAAAAGTCTGCTGTAATTGAGGAGAAAAATAATTAAGCAATATTATTAGTCATCTTACCATCATTCCCTGGTGGTTGTAATGCATCTCCTGTCAAGCTACACCATCCAACTGGGAAAATATCTCGAGAATCACATCTGCACCAATAGTCAAATGCTCCTCTCCAGCCATCAAACGTAACAAAAACTTCATCTCCTTTAACATCTCCAATGGTTGCTGGGCAAATCAAGTATGGGTTCTTTCTGTCTATAGCTTCAAGTTTCATTCCAATTTTAAAGCAGTTTGGCACAGGTTTTGGTGGTTCCTACAAAAATAAGAGTGGTAGAATATCTGTATTTCCATGGCCTCTTAAAAAAAGAAAAAAAAAACAAAAGAAAAAAACAACCCTTTATTTTTCCTCAACATCCTTACTACTTATACTCATCATTTTCAAAAAGTTACAGCAGACATTCAAAGAAACTTATATATATTGCAATTTTGCCTTTGCTCTTCTGTATTACAAAAATTTAGATTCTATTTCCACAAAGATAGTTGGGATAATTAGCAAAATTCTCCATGACAGAGAGACCCTGTTATAAGTATTTACATAACCAAGTGTTTGCACCCAATACATTATGTCTGGGCAGCAAGACAGCAAAGACAATAAAATGAAATTATTACATGCTAATAAGGAATAGGAGGTTTGCAGAGCACGGATATTTCTGGGGACTGATAACTGTCTGGTAAAAGCTTTACCTCTCAATTAATCCATGAAAAATTCATTAGCATTGGACATTATTTAGAGGCATCTGCTAACTCAGTTGGCCTTAGACCAATTCCAAGTGGACAAAAGAAAAACAAAAATCAAGCCTATGTGACCAGCATACATGTACCTCCACAGCAGGAGCTGTGATCCAATGGAACACCAATCACCACCTCAAGAACCTTGTTATTCAAACCCATCTCAAATGTGCTAGCCCAGAGAAGCATGGCTCATCACACCTCAGAAAAGTTATATAATCTTATCTAAAAAAATGATAATTATATGAAGTTAACACCAAGTGATGTGATTGCTGGTCTGAATCCAACTGTTTGATTTGCTGACATAGTTGTCAGTATCACTCTCAGTATCCAAAATTAAGACACTCAATGTGACAGCAGGGTTTTATCACCTCAACAAAAAATTGAACCAACGAGTCACTTTAATATTACTTTTGTTTTTATATAGTTTTTCCTGTTTCATGGTAACTTACTTGAGAGTCATGTTTAAAAAACTGAACAGCCTTTTCTGCTATTTTCAACTACTTTCTCGCTACATTTTAAATGCCGAGTATGTGTCCAATAAAAAGGTTTAACAAAACCCTTCCAAGTACCACTATATTTCAACAGCTCTCATTTTCCATTATTTTTTTTTAACTCCTGTGCACAATCACAAGTACAGTGCTGCTAAGAAATGTGATATGCATTGTATCTAAAATCTGTGAGACAAAAAGTGAGCAAACACAATATTTCTAAATAACACACCATACTTTGAAGTCTCAGCTCAGGAAAAGAAATACCCATCTCAATGGACTAGTAGCAGATTGCTCTCTGTCTAGCTCTGCAGCTTGTCAATCCAGTCCCAAGTAATTTTAAATAATAGTCTTGCCTTCCCTGTCTGCACCGCAGAAAACAGGGTAATATCTTGGCATCCTCACTAAAAAATGTAACCATGGACCAACTGATAGGAAATTGTTTACTAAAAGTGCCTTTCTTCTTACCTTCTTAAAGAATGCTGCAGGTGCCATTTCGGCTCCATTGAGAGTTCTTAAGAGAAACGTTGGCCAAGATGATGCATTCATCTGGAACCCTGAGTAACAAACAAACAAACAGCCCTACTTTCAGTCTGTAATACACAATAGGAGGAGAAGGATCTAACGCCTGTTTCACTAATGCCTCATCCCTCTATTTTAGACCTGGCCAAAACAAAAGCAGTCAAGAAGGAATGAACATGGTTGTCTGTGGTACAGAAAGCTGTGCTATGCATTTCCACTCTGAGTGACTGGCCTGCAGAATCATACAGAGGGATATTACAGATAAACTTTTGGGATTTAACAACATGCAAGTTCTAGCACAGTAGTTCATAAGGTTGTTCCACACAGTCCCTGGTCCAGGGGAACCTCCCCAGCACAAGCACCTTAGCTTTCTCTTCAGGTCTGCTTTTTTTCTCATTCCAAAACAGCATCCTCTGTTCCATCTCATTTATTGAGGAGATACCTTTTTATTTTTGAGAATCTTGTCACTCTTTTAGACCACAGGAAAAAAAAAAAAAAAAAAAGAATAACTGGTTTCTTTTCCCTACCCCATTAAAACAAAAATATTGATAGCCATAAAAACCAAAGAATGTCTAAGAGTGAAGAAAAAATACAATTATTTTAGCAAGTATGTGTATCATATTGGAAAACATAAATCAGAAGATCTTTCTACTTTATTATTCTTCATTAAAGTGAATACAAAGCACAAACAACAATCAAGTATATTTAGATGAACTACTTTATTAAGTAGAACAAAGGTTTGGCTGAAAAGATTCTCATTCCAGATATCTTTCCTTATAATCAACTACTTTCCAGTTAAAAGAAAAACCAAAAAACACAAAAAAATATTTTTGCTTTCTGTGCTTTCCAAATAAATGTTTTAAAGTAATGAGTAAGATAACAGACACAGTGGACATTTTTTTCTGCATCTTTAGCAGTTATATGTCTGGCACAGTTCTACAGAAAAATAGACATAACAGAGCAAATTGGAATTTTTTCCATAAAGCAAATAGTACCAGAATCTGCCAGGAACTGACAAGTTCCCTCACAACTGAGCCTGAACAATTCTCCCAAAAAACTAACTCGAAAGGCAGAACATATCTGCAATTCTTGATAAGTTAAATCATTTACTCATCTAAAATTGGATTATATGCTATAATGCTTCTTTAGCTCATAGCTTTAAGCTACCTTCTGTTGAATAAACAGTGTTCACGTTGGAACCACCTATGCAACACTCAGATGAATGTAAAGCTTGTATGTGATAAATGGTGTCATAATTTGAGGACTGCTGAGCTGATTTTTAGGCCTGGTTTCATACCAGAGTCTTTATACAACCTAAACATGTGTGGTTACTGAAACACAATATTCCCAGCTAGCTTGCCCAGAAAACAGATACAAGCAAGACAGAGGAATGACAACTAAACGAAAGTTTCAATTCACTTCATTTGGCCTTAAAGTCGTTCTGGTAAAACCAGAGAAAATGCTGTCTGCATTATAATTTGTTCAGAACATTAAGATCTCAACAACAAAACGCTCACCTATGGAAAATAGAGGCTGGGAAAGGAGCCCCTTACTACAATAATCACTTTCTCAAAAATTGTATGTAACATGCATAATTAAACTCATGTAAAAATCAGGTAGGAGGGACTGTTTTATCTAGTTATTATGATAGAAGCAGAACATTAGTATCCAGAAGGTTCCCTACTACTTAGGAAAAAAAAAAATTCAGTTGCTTAAATGTCTAACAGGAGGTAATTATACACCCAATTAGCTCCCAGCTTTGCCCAGGAACAGGATGCTGTACAAGTGCCAAAAACGCTTTTTCAAAAATTTATCTAGGTGTGCCAGAATGTTTGATTGCTGGAATTCAGCCTATCTCTAGAAAAATCTAGGGTAGGAGGAACAAAATAATGGCACTCACATTCTTTTCTGAATAACCAGCAATTGTTCAGTGGGCAGGTAAGCTTACATGCCTGGACGCAGGAAAACAACTGCTTGTGAGGTGCTGCACAAACAGCCTGATCAAATAAGGAGTAAGAAACAGTATCTGAGAAGAAGGCATCAACCTTTCTACTGATAACCGTGGAAAGTTTTGCTTCTTAATGAATTGACTGCCCCCATTATACATAACTGGAGTTGTTTTATTCATCAGACTGGTTTAGAAACACATTTTAAAAAGCACTATGTTCCTGAAGCCATATATTTAACACTGTACATATGCGCAGCTGAAGGAACTGGTGTACTCTTCCCTTTTCCATACTGGTATCACTTCATTAATTCTACAAGGTTATATCAAGAACTTCAGAGAGGTTAAACTGAGAAACTCCTCAAAAAAAAAAAAAATCTTTTCCTCCAATGACAAGAATTTTCAGTGTTTTCATTAAAAACCTCTACATATCCACAGGAGAGAAGGAAAAAAAAAAGCTCTTCTGGGCCTAAACTGTATCTATCCTAATAATATTTTTCTAGACTGGCACCCTGATTGCATTGCTTTTCTTGTGTTCCTGAAGGAACACAACAGCACAAAAATTTACCTCTATAATCTCTGTGAAGAATCTTAATGGTTATGTCAACTGCTCCTATGTCTCTCTCTCTCTACAAGCAAATCAAGTTTCATGCTGAAGTGAAACGAGACTTTTCACTTTGTCTTTCAAATAGAAGAACTGAAAGTTGCTAATAAACTGGGATGACAAGTTTTTGAGAGGCTACTAAGAGAAATAATACTTATCCTCACTAAATGTCTGATGAGAAATCTGTAAGAATTACTGATGACACCAAATCAGAAGTAGGTTCATAAGATGAAAAACCATCAGCAACCAGTTTCTGCACACAATTAATATCTTATATTAAGAACGTTATTTCTCACTTCTTCTAAAAATTACTGAACAGGGTAACAGGTGAGTGAGTTTTCAGGTAAATTTTGGCTATTAATTTTCCTCCTTCCTAAAAGCAAAACTATTTTCAGACCAACGTGAAATCTTTAAAGATTTCCACATGTAGAAGTTTAAGCTATAACAAATACAGTACAAGAATGGAGATCTAAATATACAGGTTAATCACAGCAAAGAAAGGCAACGTCACGCTTTACTACCCCTAGTAGTTTATTCAAAGTTAACTCTGACTATTCATCAGGTAGTGAGGAATTCCTTTGTACAGTTCCCTATTTAATAAACTCCCTCAATAAGACTAAGCCCAAGCCCTATTTCTCAGTCTGGGGAAACCCATTGCTCACAGAGGGCAAAAGAAATTCTGCATGCTATTTCTAAGCATAAGAAAAATACATCCTGCTCACAAGCATTCTTTGTGCTTACAAACTAGCTATGACACACTGGTCTGACACCCCAGAACATGTGTCCATTAGAGGTGATGAGAATGACCTGCAATACAAGACTGCAGTTTGCCAGAACTCTGGAGTGCTACTTTTCCCACCTCAGAGCAGAACGTTTTAATTCTACACTAAACTGACCCTGTGCTGCCTTTCCCAGAATACAACCAAATCGCTCAGTGCCTGAGGAAACATCCCAACTGCCCTGCAGGGAAGTGCCTCTGGCAATGCTGCTGAGGCTTCCCAGGCCGGTAGCAGCCAGTGCCCTCTCCATGGCTGTTTGAATGCACTGATGAAGAATATAAGGGCAAGTTCCCCCAGCTCTTTCCAAGGGCTCCCAACAGGAGCACACGTGGCATCACGCAACAAAACACTGTACACTTGTAAGGCAGGTTACAGGGAGTATTTACAGAATGGGTACATGACTCTGTATCTGCTCATTAAGAAAGTTGTAAGACTCTCCCATTTAAGAGACTATTAAAAAATAAAAACCAACCAACAACACCCTCCCCCCAACAAAACAACAAAAATGCTCATTCTCATGTCAGAAGAATCCAAAAATAAGTCACAATTCAATTAGCCTGAAGTAGTTTGCTTACTTCTGTTTCAATTAAATAATGGTTTGGTGAAATGTTAATACTATTGAATTAGCCAAGACGAAAAGGTAAATTCAATGTCATGAAAGCAATCCTCCACACACACTCGTTCAGAAGCTTTGTCTCTTACCCAGCGGAGGCTGGAGCATGCCCCCTTTCTTTTCACAGGTCCCGATGGGCTGTATGTCTGAGGAATCCACAAGCCTCCAAAAATCATTTTTGTTGTCACTTCCATCCAGCCGCAACCTTAGCCTGGCACCAGTGATTCCAATGACTGTAGCTATACAAACTGAGGTAACATTGCGAGGATCACGGGCTTCCAGTTTCATACCAACTTTGAAATCGTTCGTAGGTGGAATTCTAGACTACAGTAAAAGGTAAAAGACTTTTTCTTATTGATGTTAGCATTGCTAAATTCACCAGTCTGTTCAACATACAGCTTTCATCCATCCAAACATATCATATAAGTGATAAATATGAAGAAACTTTTGAACTTTGAGTGTTTAGCAGTAAGTCACAAAATGCAGCTGGATAACCTACCAACTGCATAAACATGACTGATTTCTAAAAAGATAATCCCACTAAGAGGGGTAACAACGGAATTCTGATGAAGATATGAACATAAAGATGAGGAGCAGTGAGACTAATACTTTAAGTGAATGGAAAACAAAGACATTGAGAAACTTGACATTCAACACACAAAAAACCAAAAAGCAAAACACAAACCAACACACGCACAAAAAAACCCCCACCCATTGTGGGAAACAACCCTGTCAACTCACAAGGTTTATTATCTTTCAGTTAAAAAGAAACAGTTATCCTCATGGTAATAATATTTCAGAAATATAAAGAAAATTTGGACCCTACTGTCCTAAGCACTACAAAAGCTCAAGGTAAGAATTTCTGCATCAAAAAAAGCTTACCATACAAAGAAAGAAGACAGAAAAAGGAGTTAGTGCTAACATTTTACAGAAAGAAAAAACAGTCATATAAAACTTCTATACTAAGACAAAACCTGCAGCTTGTGCTTATTCCTAGAGAACTGAATATAACCAATAACACACAATGAAATGCCAATTTAACTAGCATAAGGAAAAAAATGTTACAAATCCAACTTGGTCTTTGAGCAGAACTTTGACACATGCTAAGAATGAACAAAAAAGAATATTTTTTACTCATGTATCAACACTACTGGCAGAGATTGACTGGATCACAGTCTGATTACTTGCTTTCTGTGGAATTGTAGACAATTACATCACCTAATGATGTTTAAAACTTTGTATTAACACTATGGAGTATTGAATGCTTCTCACTATGCTCTTTAGATGCCTCCTAAATTTACGAATGGAATTTTTTGCCAACACTATAATTTAAATTCCTTTTGCGCTTTTGCAAATAACAACACCTACAGTGTATTTACAGAGAGCAATCTGGCCTTTTCTCAGCACCCATTCAATGAGGCAAGGAAATCAAGCACTAAAGTTTCTCTTAGGAGATGATAACTATTCTCCTATCACCCTTGGAAGCTCTTTTCTGCAATACTTCAGTACAAAGTTGTTTTTGAATGCAGACACCACTGTAAGCAGCCATGACATTTAAACCCAGTAGCTATCCCATACAGACTAACACAATCTAAATTCTAATACAGGAAGCAGGTTGAATACCCAAAACCATGGGCATTGACACTCACAGGATTCCTATGTCCCCTTCTGCCCACCTGAGCAGGTCAGGCAGGGATCCCCTAGTAAGCAGACAAGGGTGCACTATCTCTCTGGGGATGCAGGAAAAGACTGAACAAAACTGCTACTGCAACAAGTGTTAGTGATATTTTTTCTCCATCACATTTGAATGTTTGAAATACACCTTCCTCTACTTGCTATGTTGTACAGGTGCACTATTTACAACACACCCTTTATCGACAGCAGGAGCCCTGGAGGAGCCCGAGCTCAAAAACCAGCGGCGAGCAACATTCAGTGAATGCTGAGCGAAGCATCTGCCAATGCTGCACTCAGACAGCAGGCTGTCTGAAAGGGGAGCCTGAGCATATTAAATTTAAAGGGCAATTCAATTTCAGGATATTGCTTGTCAAGCTGTTATTTTCTACTACCAGGAAAAGCAACAGAAATTGAGAAATTGGGGAGTTTGTTTTTTTGTTTGCCGAAAAGGCGAGCTTGTTTAAATACCAATAACTCAAGGCATTCTACTAAAAAGGTAACTCTTCCATGCTAGTTTGTCCTTACAGAAAAATAACAAAACCCATTCAGTAACAGCCTCGTTCAAAGTTCTGCTCAAATCACAAGGGACTGAGCTTTTATGTTTAAAATTTTCAACTGCTTCAAAAGAAGTTTTAAGGCAAGAGAATGGGATGCAAAATGCATCAAAATTTTAAGTAGTAATTAAAAACAACTTAAAGCAACAGATAAAATACCTTCTAAATTAAGATAAATACTTCAATCAATTTCCATTAGCTGTCTGTGCCTGTGTCTTAATTTATGGTAGAGACTTTAATTTATTGTTCCCCAGGTCATTTTTAATTACTGCAAAATTTAAACTTCTAGAATTCCCAAAAGTCACAAATTCTGGATATAGTTGTCAAATTATGTTCCTCTCTGCTCTTTATTTTCTGGCTGGCCACAGCAGAATGTATTTATTTGCATTATATAGATAATGACACATAAAATTCATGTGTAACCCAATAAAAGTCAAATTAGTCCTATACAAAGCACAAGCACTTTAGGTTCTAAAATCTGCAAACGTTATGTAGTGAGAGGATCTAGCTATGCACTAATCAACATTCCATATCACTTTCTACTTAAAGGTCGACTCTTAGAAAAACTGAAAAACTGCATATGTAAATTGTTTTGAATTTTGCTATGCACATAAATTAAAGCTCATCTTTCCAACCCACACACTCCTTAAGCAATCCAGGTCACTTAGATTTATCTCCGTCAGTGCATGTCAGCTAAGCACCTCTATTTAAGGTGTTATTTGGTTGTTCAGTTTGGACTTCCTGAGCATTAGTAGGGAAGAGGGAGATGCAAAAAAGGCACACAGAGCCTTTGAGCAGCTTCAGAGCAGCTTCCTGCAGCAGCTACATTTCTTGGGAGCATACATGGCGGTTTATGGTCTGTGAGTATGGCATTAACCTCAGGATGATCCAGGGATATGCTACCACCCTCTGCCTCTATCCAAGCAGAGTTTGAGGTCTCTGCCTTGAGCTGGTATCCACTGTGAAAAACACATACTGTGAAATTAATTTCTGAACCTCCACTCACACAGAGTTATCGACACCACTCCTCTTAGCCATGTCTCATTGAAAGCATGCAAGGGGCTCTTTGCCCTTTATCCTTATCTGCAAAGAGCAAGCTGAGATTCAAGATTTAGCATGAGGAAATGCTACCACCTGTGTTTCTCTCTCCTTATTCTCCATTCCTGCACCTACTTTAGACTCACTGAATGACAGTTCCTCCCCTCCTCAGACTATTTCATTTGTGTTGCTTTTTATTTGGTCCCCCACTGCAGGCCAGTATCATTTACAGTACAGTCAGACTATCAACACACACACCCTAGAAGACACTTTCTGAGTGTGCCCAAGCCACTAAACTAGACATGCACTGCTTGTCACACCTATTACACTTCTATCAACCTGAACTATCCAATTCCTTCAGCAGCTGTCTTCCTAACACAGTGAAGGTATACAGACCAAAACACATCCTATTACACAGACAAGATACTCCTCAGCTTGGGAGAACACCAGCCCTGACTCCCTCTACAGAGAGAAAAATGCCTGCAGAGATCGACTCAGTCTCCAGAGGGCGAATAACGGGAGGTCATCAGCTCACACAAGATGGTAGACTTAAACTGCACCTACAAATACGTATCAAACCATCAGGCAGGGGGGAATCAAACTTGTAGGCTACAGTGTAAGATATAAAATTGTACACTAAACACCCTTTGTTATAAATCCAATATTTCCTTTGTATTCCCATATATTCCCCTTGATTTTTTTTTAACTTCAATATCTGTTACTCCTTAGTAAAAAGCACTCTGCTCAGAATGAGAAAAAATTAACAGGGAAGAAGTGGTCACTAAACTCTGCTAAGCACACATCTTGTTGCTAGACAGAACTGAAAGGCATCTTTCAGAAACGGGGCAGAGGAAAGGCTCCTCTGATGATCAGCAAAATTTTTAATTCTCATTAAATCCATGGTATCTCTAAGACTGCTGAAAAAGGTAGAGAATATTTTTTATTTCTGATAAGACTATCTATTTTCACTAACTAGTCTTTTTTTTTAAAGAAACCAGAGTCCAAAGATACAATTTTAATGAAACCCTCAAAGTTTGGCTTGAGGCAGAAACCAAGAATGAAAAACTTCTGTAGCTCTCATCTGCCAAAACTGTAAGCTACTGATAAGTAGAGATCAAAAGGAGTCAAATGGGAAGTCTAACCATAAAAGTTGCTCCAGGATCACTCTATAACAGGCATACATACATACACACACACTTGCAAAAGAGTATCTGGCATACCTGTCTGAAACAATGTAGAGGGGCAGCTACTGATTCAGTCTCTTTCAGATAGTCATCCCAATTAAACTGCTCTGGAAGACATAAGATAAAAAAAGACCATATACACAGTTTTAAAATGGAACTTAAATTAAAAGGGGAGTTGGGGAAAGAAAGGGACAAAATAACCCAACTATTTTGTAGAATACCTTTGTCTTTCAAGAATAGAATTGCTCTCAAATGGAAACTCTACCTTGGAAATATACAATCTTCAAAGGAGTTTCAAGAGTACCATTAATTTACAGGGGTGATCACAAAATAGGCAAAATTAATATAAACCTTCCCAAATTTTTTTTTTTTGTGGTCCACATACAAAAATATACAAGTCAGGATACCTAGATTCAGTTCTCTCCATAAGGATCTCCTGAGCATCCTTGTATAAATCACATTAGCCTTTCTATATCTTAGTTCCCTTAACAGCAGGATTGATATGAGTACTGAGGTGATACACACTAAAAAACAGACATATAGATTCTGTTGAAATGTATATTATGAACACTATCCCCAGTCCACTAGAAAGCAAAAGCTTTCCAAACTGCATCTTTGCCTCTTTTCATCTGAAGTCTGATAAAGGTTTCTCTTTGTAGAATATTAAGTATTATGGCAATTACAGGTAAACATTATGGCAACATTAAGAAACAGAATCATGGGGTTTTTCCCAGTGTTAAGAGTGGTATTGTTTACGTGTATGGGCAAGTGTACTCTGCATTTGATTTAATCAGTGTTATCAGATTTGCATGAATGGAAAACCATGAAGTTCTAACATCAAAGATACAACTAAGCGTTAATTAAATTAATATAAAGTGTAAGAGAAAAGCTTCAATGGCACAGCTAATATTTCTGTTACTAAATTATCCGAGTTATTTCGCCTATTTTTCTCGTTTTTCTCGCAGCTGACATCTTTCTGATGTTCCTGAATAATAAATTACTCCTGAACTTCAAAATGATGCAGTGATGCCACCCAGTGGCTCAGCAACAGTCATCCACACAGCCCATAGCAAAATTCTTGGTGAAATATGCATGGTGGTTCAAAGGCAGAGTGTGCCTGCACTAGCACAGCATTTAGACTGTCCCCTTGGCCTGATGAGATCCTCTTTTTTCGGCATAACACTCAAAGGTGTACAAATTATTTGTCCTTGGTACTGCAGAAGCCATATGCTTGTTAGGTATTTGAGAAGTCAGCAATAAGTCAGTGAAATCTCAAAAGCTGTTAATTTCGTGGTCTGTCGTACATGAAGGCTGGTAACAAACACATTTACATACAACATCTTGGGAGTCTACCTATTTTGGAATGAAAATTATATTCGTATATTTATACAGTAACCTCGATATTGTATTACTCAGAAAAGGCAGGGTATGTTAACCTCAGCATATGTTAGATATTTGTATTTCAGGAAGGCAGAAATGGCTCTTCAGAGCCTTCTCCAGAAAGTAAGCTCCAGATTTGTTGCTCTTCTCATTAACAGACCAAGGAAGGTGCAAAAACTGAACATGATGAACTGCTAGCAAGGTTTCATCTTATAAAAGTTCTTCTTGGAGCCTAATAATAAAACTTGAGGTTGCCTTCTGATTCACAAAAAAGTTTTTAAAATTTTGGGTTTTAATCAGAGTTTGCCTTAACAAACTACCTAACTCAATAAAATTAAATCTGGCAAAAATATATTAGCTGTGTCCCAGCTGTCTCAGAGCTAAAATGATGTAAAAGCTGTAATCATGAATAAGAGCCTCTCTGGGTTAAGGACTGTATAAACATTGATCAGAGATAGCATCTTTTACCAGGAGAAACCCCCAATCACCTCCTCCAAAAAAATTACATACCAGCATTTCCCAAATAATCTCAGTTTTTATAACAGGACTGTAAATTTGGTGCAATGACCCAAAAATACAGAGGGAAACAGTCTTGTTTTTTCCAGGGATCATTTACTAGAAAGAAAAGTAAGGTAACACAAGCAGCCAGCTGCAAATAAAGCCAAGAGTAAAACAACATTGCCTGGCTCTTTGCTTTAAATCCTGGCTATCAAAAGCTCTTGCATCATGCAGAAATGTCCTGGAGTTAAAATTAGAACCTCTCCACCTGTGAAGATACACTGCATTAAATCAGAGCCAAGCTCTCAGAGATGGTGCTAATTATCATTTAATTACTGCAGTCATAGAAATAAGAGACGCATGTATGTTTGCAACATGTAAGATGCATCTCTAGAAAGACAATCACATTGAAAAAAATACCTACACAAAAGCTTCTCTGTATTCTCAGTGTGTAGAGGTAAAGAGGAAGCTGTATTATATATATATTTCTAATTCTGAAGCCCCTGAAAACATGCAGCTTCTGACAACTAGAAAATCTTTCAAAAATCAGCTCACACTAAATGATTTAACATGCACTTCTCTTCACACTCAAATCTGCAGGCTGAATTAAACAGCTCAAGAAAAACTTGTTATGCAACAAGCACAACTTTATAACCCATCAGCAAAGTGAAAACGAGAGAGAAGGAAATTTTACACTGAAGAACAAATCAGCATGTACGGTAAAGGTGAAGGGGGGGGCAGAAAAAAAAAAAAAAACAAACAAAAAAAAAATCCACAACACACCAGAAACTTTTATAACACAGGAGTGAGGCTCTAAAATAGTGATTCAAAACAAGCAGCATGGGCAAAAAGTCTGATTAATTTAAAAACTAAGGAAATTGTTTATGCCCCAGTTGCCTGCATTACTGGCAATGACCCATGGGTCAATGACCCTTGATGCTCTCTGCAATGCCATACCAATACCCTATCACTTCTTGTCAAACCTGCCAATCCTAAAGTAACTCAAGGTAAAAGGAACACCAGGAGGTCTCTAGTTCAGCCTCCTGCTCCTCTAGGATTCCATCAGCCTCAATGTGAAGATTTTTTTCCTTCCATCAAGGAGGAATTTCTTATGCTCCAGCCAGTTATTTGTCGCTTCTCCTTCCATTGCACCTCAGAAAAGCCTAGCTGAGCCCTCTCTACAGCTGCCTGTCAGGTAATTGAAGACAGCAAGACTATTTCCCACAAGCTTTTTTTTCTTTTAGCAGAAAAAAATTTTTTTCTGGTTTCCATATCACTTTTTTTGCTTACTTCTTGCATTCCAGTACCTTCCTTTTTTTGGTGGACAGCCAGCCGGTTCCAGTACAGAAGTGCCTTCCCTGCACCGCGCAGATCAAAAGTGAGCATGGTTCTCCAGATGCAGTCTCTGAAATACCCCAAAGCAGCGAATCCCTCCTCCCAGCCTGCTGCCTGCACTCCTGCTGACAGGATCCCTATGCAGTTGTTGTCTTTCACCACAAGAGCACACTGCAGGTCCACACTCAGCTCTCTGCCTGCCAGGGCTCCAGGGCCTTTCCTGCTAAATTCCTTTCCAGGCAGCCAGCTTACCTCCTAGGCTGCTGCCAGGGTCCAGTCTGCCTGAGGCTGGGAGAGACTCTCCATTCACCTTTGAATCCCAAAGTGCTCCTGTCATCCCGTTTCCTTGGCATAAGCAAGTACATATGAAGAGCAGTCCTGCTTTCCAGCCTACAGTCTACTCCTTCTCATGAGACATTGACCACAAACTGGTTTGACAATGTGTTCTGTCCCATCGTCCCCTCTGACAGCGAAGTGTAAAATAGCATCAGCTCTAGCCTTGACCTCTAAGAAATGCCACAAGCTACCAGCTGCCAGATGGACCTTGCACTGCCTGGCAGCCTAGTCAATTGTTCATCCACCTATCCAAACCACATCTCACTAGTTTGGCTGAAAGGAACTACACAAACTATACAGAAAGCCTTGCTGAAGTAGAGATGAACAACATTCACTGCTCTCCCCTTGTTTACAGAATCACAACAAAAGGTAATCAGTCATGTACGGTTCACACTTGGGAAATCCATCTCAGCTGTTCAAAACTCCATCCTTGTCCTTTATTTGCTTGGAAATGACTTCCAGGAGGGTTTTCTCCACAGTCTTCCTAAAGAATTGTATCAGGCATACCAGCCTGTAATTCCCCAGGTGCTCCCTTATTGTCCTTCTTGACAGTGGGCATACTGTTTTACCTTTTCCAGTTATCATGAAACTTCCTCAATCACTATGACTTCTCCAAAATGAGCAAGAAGCCTCACAGTGACATCAGTCAACTACCTCAGCACTCTCAGAGCAGAGGTGCCATACCTGCTATGACAAATATGTGAATGTCCAGTTTGATGAAGTGCTCCCTGTCTTCCACTGTACATAATGCTTCAGTTTAGTGTAAGTCAAAAGTGTTACAAAATTTAACTTGAAGATTTAAACTATGAGTTAAGCGTCACTTGTAGATTGGCAGAATTAAGGTCCTGGTTTATTTATGTTAGTTTAATACAGAATGACCACAGCCTAAACACTGTTTGGGCAGATAGAGCACTTCACGTCTTCTATCACCCCAATGTTCCCTTGGCATGCATCTGAGACTTTGGACATACAGAAGTATCTTTTCTAGTCTTCATCCCACAACCTCTCTTCCTCAAAGATGAGACTTCCTTCTAATTTTCATTTACATACTTGCAAATACAGTAGTTTAAGTGTAAGGTATTTCATACACCACTTTATGCCTTGTACCTTCTTCTGTATCATTCTGTATATGTATCATATGTACCACATGTACCTTCTTCTGTGATCATTCAGTTAGAATTTTTCTCCTCCTCATGTCTTTCTCTACTCACTTTGGTCTATTTTTTTCACCTGTATCTCTGTTTCCCCTCCTCTTCAACTTTTCCTATCACATATCCCCCTGGAAACTCTGGAGACTTCCTGGATATTAACCCAAAGCATTGTAAGGCATTTTTCTTCATCCAGCATCAAGAGGCTCGTTCTGCTTTCTTGCCACCAAAAAGCAACAACGCTGGATAAAAATTATCATCTCATCTGTAGAAAATCAGAGATTTTGCAAGGCACTCTGACAGAACTGAGCCCAGGTTTCATGAGTAGGTTCAGTGCCCAGACACTTGATTAACATGTAGCCCAAGTGGAAGAGCACAGATGACTGAATAATGCTTGCCTGCTCAGCATTGCTTCTACACAAAGCTTTTTCAACACTTTGTTCTCCGCTGCAGGAGGAGGCAGGGACATTTTCCAGTGACTCATGAAATATGGTTATCTTATCCACATATGAAAAGCATACTGCTGGTGGGGGGGTTCCCTATGGGGTTCCATCTGCCAGACAACATTATTTTAAAACACAAACATGCTGAGTCCAGTTTGACTGGAGCTCCTTTTACACTGCAGAAGAGGGAAAAAGACACAAATACAATTTCTTTTCTGTCTCAAAGTAACAGGGACAAATAACAAAGATGACAGGTTGCCCAGAGAGGTTGTAGAGTCTCCTTCTCTGGAGATATTCCAAAGTCATCTAGACACAAATCTGAGTAATGCACTCTAGGGGACTCTGCTTGCAGGACTAAGATGACTATTAGTGGTCCCTTCCAACCTTGACCATTCTGCAACTGCTAGAACCCCAATAAACAGAAAAGCTAGGTCTGGTAAATGGCACAGCAGAAGGCTCCACTATGGCTGGTGGTAACAAGGCATCGTGTCTTCTATGTGAAGTCACCACCTCAACTACTCAGCTACCGTGTTGGTCTCTCAGCATGTTTGTTTAGTGACTGTGCTACCCATAAGGAACTTCTCCACTGGTACCTAAGAAAAGCCCTGAACCAGACCATCTATCAGGAGTCAGAGGGTACAGAAATGTGAGCAGAGCGAGAGTTTAAATAACTCTGTGACATTTTTTCAAGAACTCCTGAGGAGATTTTGTGCTTAAGTCAATAGTACTCATGACATTTCTTACTGTCCCAAATAATCAATAGTACTGATGACATTTCTTACTGTCCCAAATTCAAGCAACCATCATGAACATATGAAGGGTATGTAAGGGTGCTCCTGTCCTCTCACTGAGCCCACAAAAGCTAAACTGACAGCAGTCTCATGTATATGCTGCCTTATGGCACCTGTTGAGGACAGCAGAGTTCAAGTTCAGTAAGAATCTGGATTATTTCTGGCGAGTGTGTAGTTTCCTCAATTTACTACGAAAACACAAATTCTGTTTTCAAATATTTTGTTTGAAGTAAAATTAGAATCTCATGCAATTTAATCCAGTTAGCAATCCTAAAAACTCAGTCTATTAAACCATAAATCCTTTCTTTGGCAGCAGTAAACACATTAAGGTAAGGGAAAAGAACTTCAGCAACAAAGGCATGAAACTAAAAAATACACAATGAGAAGAACAGACAAATTAGTAATAGACTAAAAATATTAATATTTACACAGCAACTTTTATTATACATACAAAGAGTACTTGTCTTGGTTAGTAAAAATATCAAGCTCAAGTCAAGCAGTTTCAACCATCACCTTCTATAGCAAAACACACTTTCCTAACAGAGTTAGACAAAAGCGATGGTATGTTTTTAACTACCCAACAATAATAACCCAAGACAGTGCCAAAAGCCTCAGGAAATAGTATGATCCCAACACACACTTTTTCTTTTAGCGTACCTTAACTAATAACCTGACAGCTGCAATACCTACCACTTTTTAAAGACGGGTTGTTTGCCTGCTGATTCTTTCCATCTTTCTCTTTTTTAATATTCTTTGAATCTAAAAGACAAGATTCCGTTACATAATAAATGTAATATTCACATCGTAACGATGTTCAGCATAACACAGAATGCTTTCAAACAATACAGAGTATCTTGTTCCAAATACTGACATTCTTCTATTCATTTCAGTGCATAATCAAAGGGTACTCTAAATTTATTCACCACACTATTTTCCTTTCAAAATATATTGAGAAATATATTTTGAACACTATAAAAAAGCAGAGTTTTTGACTACTTTATATCACATTATCAGAATAAATCTAGTTACAGAACATGTAGTATTAGCTCTACAGACAGCAACCCTGTCCTAATTTTTAATAGTTTTACTCAACCTACACACAATTTGAGAACCTTAAGATAACCTGATATCTTTATAAATCTTGTAGAGATCACTCTGAACTGAGAAACAAGGAAAATAAACAAACCCACCCTAAAAGCATATTTCTGAGGTAAAGATTCCATTCTATATTTAGATTCTTGAATACTCAATATTCTCAATATTAAATTCTTGAATATTCAAAGCAACTCAGTGCATATGCCAGTTATTTAAAAGAATCATTCTGAAGAATCTACCTTCCATATCATTCATCTCTACACACATTCAGAAAGAAGCCTGCCATATTTCATTTTTAATGGATTTCAGTATGTATTAGAGACACAGTGGAACTGGGCAGCTCAGAAGACTGAGGGAGACAGTTCACTCATTCTTTTTAGTCTTTAATATATGTTGGTTTGATGACTTACTTTTGACACTCATGGACTCAAGCACAATTCAAATATACATCGAATGGGCAATGCCTTTTTTTTTTTTTTAAAGTTTGCTTTGGAACACTTTTTACTGGATAAATTCATGGAGAAAAATCCTTATGGAGGTCAACTTCAGATGGAACTGCTGAAATTATTCAAGATGGTGCCCACGAGCTTTAATCCCAAAAATTCCCCAGGAATAGGGCTTTAAGCCACACAAATGGACACCCTACAACTACCTGTGGGAATCTGAGAAGGGAAAGTGTTAGAACTAATTCTGCTGGGCAGCAGCAATCAACAGCAGAGCCATTTG